TATTCACATTAACCTCACAAAACATAGAAGAACATCCAAAGACATCCTCAAAGAAAAAAAGATATTCAAGTATAATAATACCTGGGGATTTTCACTCTGAGGATATTACTCTAGGGATATGGTTAGTTTGTAGCCATTATAAAACAATAGAAATTTATTTGATGTCCTCGTTTAGATAGCGTGTGAAGTGAATATGTTTGTGTACCTTTTTAACCGGATGCAAGTCATAATAGCAAAGTGAATAACCTGGTTCCCACAGTCTGGTGACTGATTAGCCCGGTTATAAACCAGATGAACGATGAGATGGTGTAAGGACTTTTGTATGAGTGTGCATCAGGTCACTGCCGCAGTCAACAAATTCATAAATGATTGTGTGATGTTTATGCAAGCATGTTTTGTTTTTCTACACTGAACATGCTTCGACAATGTTCTTTAGTTCATTCATTGCTTGGGAAAATGTTTTGCTAAGTCAAGTTGATTAACAACATGACTTCAAAAGGTTCCTGAACCAGCAGTATTTTAGGTGAGGGAGAGGTCATGTTCTTTCTCAAATAAGTGATAATAGCGTTTATTTCCTCAAATCTAACAGAACCAGAGTGCTTTTGGGATTGCAAATACTGTCCTGGATGGAAATTTCAGGAAATGCTAGAAAGAGAAATAAATCTCAAGCATAGACAGAAGACAGAATATCATACGTGTAATAAGCTTCTGTAGAACCCCTTAACTGTCACCATCCTGCTAGCGTGACGCTTGGCGCTCTTTATTTATTGCCTTTTTTTCGTATCACATATTTTAGTAATCATCATAAAATATGAATAGTTTGAAAGCTTACAAATTTAAAATTCATACTTTGAAAACCATTTCGACATTGAGTTACCGTGGAAATGGTACTTTAAAGCCTCTTTGTCGAAATCTGCAATTGCAGTCATTCGTGGAATTATCAACTTTATGTGAGTTGTACCTCGGCACAGTACAGCGCAGATGAACACAATGTTTTGAGGAGAGTGTGCGGCTGTCAGTCACCATGACGGATACTGGCATTCAGAATCACAGATTCTACTTTTTGGAAGTATGACCAACATAAGATCTGAAACTTCAATTTTTGTGATATCAACTTCAAATTTGGAACACAACTTGGTTATATATATGGCTTTGATGTTATTCTGTAAAATATATATTTTATATAAAATAAATTTTTTTTTACTATAGCCTACATTTGATTTACAGTCAATATAAACTTGCATTACTTTTTTCATTCTTTCATTTTTTGCTTTCACTTCAGCAATAATCTGCTGAGTGTCTTCTTTAAACCAAGATCAAACTTAGGCCTAAGGTTTTCAACCATTGTGCATTTTCATGTCTATTCTCAAATAGGGGGTTGGCAGTTAAGAGGTTAACTGTACAATGGCTTGCAATTGGTTTAAAATCAGAGATTAAAATGCAAGGAAACAGCTTTTTATGTTTCAAAGAGCCACTTGTTGAAAACAGAGGAGCTTTATGAAGAGGTGTTTTTAGCAGGTCTATGTTTTGCAGAGAAGGTTAGTTTTTTTTTTGGTTTGGGCAGAGATCAGGTTTACTGCAGCAGCACGGCATGAGAAACATGCCCATGGATTTTGTGTGCTAACACTCAAGCATCTTTTCTCTGGAAGCATGAATCGGCACGCTAACATCAGTGAAGCCAAACTGCTCAAACTTGTATGTGCATGCAGTAAATGGTAAGAAGGAAAGACTCATGCAGGCATGGCTTCAAACCTTTCACCTCTAAGCAAAATTCACAAATCTTACAAATCCTTTATTCTTTTTGGCATTTCATTGACATTCACATGTGTACATTTTTACTTGTACAGGATGTTGAAGGATGTACATTAAGAAAAAATGTAACACGGTAAATAATCAAAAACTCCTGGTCTTCTACAAAACACCATCATCATTGCTCCAGAAATGCCATCACTCTTGTATTGTTCTGCCACTTGTTTTTAAAAGTTTATATATATATATATATATATAGTTTTTCCTTTGTAAACATGCACTATTGTCAAAGTGTCCAATCTGCTTTGACACACAATCTTTCTCTTCTATCTGATGCTGTGTCTGTGTACTGTATGTTTGTGAATGGCCCCCTAAAAATGTAAGTATAGCCAGTAAGACAATAACTACGACATAATTTCAATGTCTTAGAGAAATGAGTGAAAGGTATGGGCTACGCTTAAAAAAAAAACCCCAGAAAATATTCATCTTCAAAGTTGTTTCTCTAAAATATTTCCAAGTTCATTCCATTTTGCCTGGAGATTTTTGTGATCATCTCATCCTGCTGAAAACTAACAGACTCCATTCTTGACTTTTTGATTTATTGATCATTACACGTACACTTTTCACGAAACCCTGATATACTTTTTAAGAATTGTTTGATTAATTTTCAAAAGAAGAGCATTTATTTGAAATATAAATATCATGCAACATTGTAAATCTCTTTTTATCTTTTGATCAAAATGTGTTAACATTATCATAATCATCTTAAAAATAAAATGAACTATGTGTATGCACTGCAGTATTGCCATATTAATGTATTTATATACGTTTTATGATTCTTACATTACAAAATAAAATAATGATTACTGTGGGAACAGGGAAGGAGAGTGAAACCTTTTTTTTTTTTTTTTTAATTATCTTTGGTAGAAGTCACAGTTTTTCTCAGTCGCTTTGGTGCACTTCTCACATCACAATTTATATTTGGACAACAGTTAGTTCAACCTCCACAACATTTAGTCATTTGTGCACATCATAGTAGCAGTTTCTAATTCCTTCCAACAAATTGCAAATGCTTTTGGACATGCATCAGTTTTCATACAACTCACAACTCACGTCAGTCAAAATTAACTATAATTGTGAATGCTGAATAGTCATTCCATATAAAACTAACAGTCCTCATTTCATTGCTTGAGTCATCACATACAAAAATGTTGAACTAGTTAGCAAAATATTTTTTTTTAACAATTTCTCTCAGGTGAACCTCAGCTTTCAATGATGAGAAGGGATGCTCATGAATGATTTACAGAACTATGTACAGTATGTTGTATGTTCAGTTCCAATAAGTACTGCAATATTGTTGTGCACAGATCTACCCAATGTGAGTTTATGTTTGTTGTAAATATTTTTTTCTTTTGCACAATGCTGTGAACAAATTAGAATTGCAAAGAGCATATGCAGTAAAAATGTGAAACATACATATTCAGTGTCCGTTACCTCACTAAATACAGTAATGTGTAACTTTACTGTAGTTTTCAAATGGCTGTGAAAATAGTATAAAGTGTTGTATTGAGCATTTTCAGGTAGTGTCACCAAAATCGGACTTTTTTGCATTGGAGTAAACTGTCATAATGAAAACATGACAAAGCCATATGACTATGTTTTTCATAAACAATGATGTCAGAACTTTTCATCTTACAGTAATGACACTAACACTGTCATTGACATGAATACTTGCTTTTGAGGAATGAGCAATCCATTTTGAGCAAGTGACACACTTTGCAGGTTATCAACTAGGTTTTGCAGTTTGTAATAATTGTTTTGAGAACTGCATAAACTGTTGTGCAAATGTAAATAGTCATGTGAGAAATGCACCAAAGCGACTGAGAAAAACTGTGACACATTTTTCTTTAATGCCTACATTTTGTTTGACATGGAAACAATAATTGGCGGACCCCCTGTAGTACTGCCACAGACCCCCTAGGAGTTGCGTTCCTCTTTATAATATCCAGAATAAGATCCAAACCCCATTAAATGTGTAAGGATGTTGAGGAATCAGTGTCAGCACACTAAAGAAAGGGAAAGGTTTTTTGTTGCATTAGTTTGTAGCATGAGCATATAATGTAAGTTCAGTGGCGTAATACAGTTACTAATCTCCATAGACAGCCATCAGACACCAACCACCAGTCAAGGGAGGAGCAGGAGAGGGGAAGATTTTATCTTTCCTTAGTTGGAGGGAAATAAGACACCCACATGCATATACACATGCCAGCAGATACACAGGAACACACGCACACACAGGCAATGAATAAATTACGCTTCCTAAGTGACACTGAGCAGGCAGTGTCACAGTTTTTACACATCAGAGGACAGTGAGGGGGACGTACTGTACTGTCTATTGCAAGAGTCCAGCCTGAATTTATCTTTCATTAACATTCATTGCGTGGGAAATACTCGCACCTGGTGTGAACAAATCGGTCTAAGGATTCAGGTCAAATGCAAATCAATGCACAATAACACACATACCCACACACACACACACACACACAAACACAGGAACTGTTGCACCTAAAAGCTGAATGTGATATATGTAGGTTGGTAACACACCTGTGTTCTAAATTCACTTCATACCCAATGTGCTTGGGTTTCCATGGCACAGAATTAACAATGCAATTCCATTGTGTGCAATTTTCA